ACAAAAAAAAAAAATAAAAAAAATAAGGGGAAACTGTCGTCTCGCTGAAGTTTGAACGCGGAGAGAAATCCATCTGCAGATCTGCTCTGTAAACCCTCCGTGCCGTCACCAGCCACAGATCACGTGACTTTACATCAAGATATTTCATTTCGACTTTTAACTTTATCTGAAAAACAGTAAATGACGTGATTCTACGTCAACAAACAGAAAACTAACACAGGAACAAATCCGTCCCTCGATCGCTTAGAAGAGACGCCAACTTCTCCACCAACAGCACCTTTAAAAAAAAGACCATGATGCAGTGCAACCGTAGCTACGTGTCCTGTCGCCTTCCTATTTGACTAACCAGACACCGCGACATTGTTCTCTCTCACGACTGGAAAAAATCCAACTACGTGCTCACGTCACATTTCCATAGTCGCCAGTAAGTTCAGGGTGTGTAAAGATTGTCGTATTGTTTTCAGTAAGGTGCATCACATGACAAGGTTACGTTGAAAGGGGTGATTGTACTGTGGAAAATCGAGACAAAGCGATTAGTTGAAGAATTGTTCAGTAGATTGGGAGAAAAACTATTGTGATAATCAATTAATCGTGTGAGCGAGTTTTCAAGCAATTGCAACGATAAAGATATCACCATCGGCTCTGGGACTTTGGTTTTGAGAAAACTTTTATCAGATAAGTTAAAAAATAACTAACTACCGACCTCCAAACAGAGACATGTATTAGTAGCGAGATGCTTTAATTTGATGGGTACAGCTAAATAAATCTGGTTCGATACCGTGATTCCAGGTGTTAATTAAAACCCCGTCTCCGCCTACATGTGCTGCTGGGAAATGTAGGAAGTTAAAGACGACCGTCTACTTCTTCTTCCCGTCTGTGGCGATAACTTATCACAAAACAGCTACTGGGACGGATCGAGACGTGCACTGAACATCGTGTTCAACCCAGAAAAGTCGGGAGTTCAAAGCGAAATGACGTCTCACCTCTCCGAAAAAAAGTTTCCAGGTAAAACAAACTTCCACATTTCACGACGGCGCCAACAGGTGAAAAGCCGCAGGTTCCTGACTGGCCGTGTTCTTGCGTGCCGTATTGGATATCACGCCTGGTGGCACTAAGTGACAATGTAGTGGTGACACGGACGGCACAAGTGAAGCCCGAGACCGATGACAAGCACAGACAGTCCAAACAGAGCCGTGTTGTTCCCTTTGGCCCCGGCCGGGCCTGGGAACTCAACGCCGGCTCTCCCCGCGGCCCTCACGCAACACAACATCACAGCAGCACGGGCCAACCGCTGCCCTGTTAACGCTCTCACTGTGGGACCCCGTCAGGAAAATTAACACCCGAAATCCTTTTAGATGGATATTCTTGTGATGTAGCATTAAATAAAAAGGCTGCTCAGAAGGAAGCTGGGAAACGTCACGCTGAAGATGTGAAGGAAGCCAGCGAGAGTCAAAAACTAATTCCACTTTTAAAAGGACAAAGCAGTGATGGTATGGAGAGGAGCTTGTGGAGAGATAAAACACACATATGGTGAACTACTGCAAACCAAAGATATAAGAGGAAGGGGCTACGAACAATTACTTTCATTATTGATAAAAAAAGAATAGTGAAAAATGTCCATTAAATGCCATAATCAACACTTCAACACTTCAACACTCAAAGATATTCAGTTTACAATGATATAAAACAGATATGCAGCAGATCCTCACACAATCTTTGGATTTTTTTGCTCCAAAAATGACTTTAACGGTTAATCTGCAATCAGAACAGTTGCTGATTGGGTTTCGGTCGTTCAACAAACCAACTTTTCTACATTAAAAGTTTAAAACTTGAAGAAGTAAATACTGTCAACTCCAATACAACCAACTGATCAATACACCAAAAGGAGATTAACCCTGTATTAGATTCATACATAATAGCATGTTAATACTTCAGGTTTAGTATAAAAGCCCCAAAAATAATCAAACCTCCAAAAGTCTACAGCCCTGTATCAGCGTGTCACTCCTGCTTTGAGCCGGTATTCAAACAAGGAACACTTTCAAACTTATATAAAACATTATCTACATTTCCAACACATGACCTCGCGCTATTGAATGGCTGCAAAAAAACACCCCATGTGCTCCAACCTGCATTCAAATCCACGTACAGTACAGCTGCTCCGGCTACGAAAGGTGGGAGAGGAGGGAGAGGGGGGAGAACAAGCACCTTAAACAACTAACTGTTGATTTCACAGACGTTATTTGACATTTCCATTCATAACTTCACATCTCTAAAGGGAAAACACAACTTTGGTTTGTTAAAATAGAGCCCACCACGTCATTAAAGCAGCATTAGGGTCCTGACATCCCTGAGCTACATCATCTACAAGACAGCAAACAAAACCCAAACACACATATGTATTATACCCGCCCAGGTTACTGAGTCTCTCTCACACACTTAAACTTTATGAAAAGTCTTACCTGTGAGTAGTCAAAGTCAGAGAGAGGTGCTATGCTTTTGATGTATTCGATTCTGAATTGGTCCTCTGGGTTGGCTAGCGGGACTGGGGGTATTAAAGTGCTCATCGCAGACACTATAGTCTACAAAGCAGAAGTTGTGGGAGAGAAAAAACAAAAACAAAAAACGAGCATTAAGCAGGATGAATACAGGAAAAAATAAATATTAAAAAAAAAAAAAAATCCGTAAGCCTGTATAATAATCAGTTAAATGGGATTCGGTGTAACAACAGAGACATTGAGCACATTTGGGAGGCGACACTCACCACTATGGCATCCTTCACGTTTTTCCGAATATCTTGGATTTTCTGTTTCTTTTCTCTGCATG